GCTCCAAGGCACAGGCGCTCTCCCATAAGCCACCAGAAGGGGGGAGGTGGTGCTTATTGTACCTAAGTACCTACCATCAGGATATAACAGGAGGGCCAGGCCTGGCAATAAACATGAGTGGCGACTGTGCCTAACAATACCCTCAGGACTTAAACATTATGCTTCCACTGTGTGCTGACCATGCTGAAGCTCCACGTAAGAAAGCAAACCAGGGTGCGGGGTACAAATGCCTTCCTCTGTGAAGCTGATACTCTGTGTCATACAAGCACAGGGCAGCGCCCCACTGCCCGGTTCCTTCTCAGGTGGGCTACACGGGATGCTTCCTAAATGGGCTTCTTGCCATGCAGGTGCCTCTCAGTCACTGTCCCAAAGGATCCTGGACAAAGGCTCTGAGCAATATCACCCAGACTCCCAAGCCTTCCTCTGGGCCATCTGAGTGGGCCCCTGCTGTTCCAGAACACACACAGACCAGCCCTCCCTGCTGGCAGAGCCTCCCGGGGCGCTGGGACAGGCGTCGATATATCGGTAGGACAGCTAGCTGCCTGGCTGGCTAATCTGGGCCTGGACAAGGTTGGCCTGTTTTAACCCTTTGTACACAAGCATCTACAGACACAAGCGGCAGACCTTCCCCACACACCAACTGCTTCTGTAGCCACAAACCTGGCATATCAACTTGGATCGCCCCATTTTAAAATCAGACTTGTTAGTGACATCTCTAGGTTTGTAATAAAAATTATGGTAACTTAAATTCGTAAATATTCCAGCACATATGGAAGAAATGGGGATGGTTTCTGTTTTGGACGCGTGGCAGTGAACTGGTTAAAGAAACTGCTTTCAGCATTCGTCTTGTCGTATGCTCCATCCACAGTGTGCTAGGAAAATATAGAGCTTGTGCTAAAACAAACTCTCACACAGATGCCAATATATTTACATGAAAACACAAACAAAGAGATACACATATGCAAACACCACAGTCAATACCTCTCACAGCTTAGCAAGGAGTACTTACGATGAACTTGGTCAGGTTTTCGTTCACTCGCACGACGTTTTTGGCCATGTGCTGCATGACTTCTAACAGGTCGTTCTCAGTGTACCCCGTGTAATACTGCTGCTTTAAGTTCTGGAACACACCCAAGAGAGGGGCGTGATAAAGCCTCACCTCTTTAGAAGAGCCCATCTTACTCATGCTGACAGCCCTCCTGGAAATGCCATCACAGCCCTCATCACTACCGTGGTCCCAGCAAAGCAGCCAGCACACAGAGAATGCCTGACTGCGCAGGACTAAGCCAGGGCGTTGTGCGGCTCTCAGCTAAATCAAGCCCAAGCACCCCTTCATTATTTCTTTAAAGAAGGTGCCTCGGGTTACGTAGGGTACTTCACGTAACAAAGCTTCATGCTTACCCCTCCCACCACACTGAAAGGGGATGGCAAGTGGGGCAGAGGAAAACAAAGGAACGCCTGTCACAATCATGGCAGAGACCTGGGACTAGGACATGCCACATGCCCCATCAAAGCCCAGAGTGGCAGTGGCTGGTGGGGAGCTCAAAAGCCATATTGTCAGTCAGAGGTCCAGGATTATGACAGCAGATAGGCCACAGGTAGCAACCTAATTTACTGAACCGGGAAGAGCAAAGGCCACCCAGGACTCTCACAGCCCTGGAGAACAGAGAGCACTCAGAGAAGCCCACACCCAGCCTTCCAGAGGACAAAACTCAAGCAAAGGACAGTTGTTGGTTGAAAATAAGACTTCGTGTATGAAGATACGTAACCTGACTTCACTTCAGTTCTGTAATAAATACTAAAAGCTGAAGTACAGCTGAAACCGGTTTGGCTCAGTGGATAGAGCGTCAGTCTGCGGACTGAAAGGTCCCAGGTTCGATTCCGGTCAAGGGCATGTACATTGGTTGCGGGTACATCCTCAGTAGGAGGTGTGCAAGAGGCAGCTGGTCGATGTCTCTCTCTCATCAATGTTTCTAACTCTCTATCCCTCTCTCTCTTTCTCTCTGTAAAAAAACGATACAATATTAAATAAATAAATAAATAAATAAATAAATAAATAAATAAACAAAGCTAAAGTACATCTCTTTCACATGTACAATGTAACTGGGGAAATAAACCACAACTTAATCTTACTACTAAAAATGATTTAAAAAAAAAAAAAAAAAAAAAAAGAACTAAGCAGAATCAAATCCTGAAATAACGCACAAGTATTGGTACTGTGAAATCAGCTCCCAGAACACAGGGAGAGCCAAACCCGTTAGGGTGCCCACTTCCTTTTGATGTAACCCACTGCATTAACCTTTGCTTGCTATCTGGCTCATCCTGTACTTCTTCTGCCAGAGCCCTGTAATCAGCCTTCTTAAAGGAGCCCTAGTTGTAATCAAGATGTGGCTACTAGGTATGTTGACTGTTACCACTGTTTCTCTGCTCTCTCATTATGCGTTTACTGACATTTCCAAAACAGATTTAATATTATCGAGTTTTCCCTTTTGTTTTTAATTGCTAACAATATTTTCTCTACTTATAGTGAACATTTTACATCATTAATAACAGAAATGCTTATTTATTTATCCTACAATACAAAAATAGTTTCAGAATTGTAATAACAGATTATTAACCAACTTCCTAAGTAAACTGTAAGTATGTTGCCTTTTCTGGTCCTTTGTTTTGTCTAACTTTGAATCCCACTCAGAATGCAATAATCAGAATGCTGTGTTCAAAAGACGTTTGAATTAATTCTTCCCTATGTTCTGTTACCAATTTGATAGTGACATTGTTTCTTCTTAATTCCATTTTATGATTTGCATAAAGCATTTGAATTGTTCAAGTTAAAAAGTTACATTATATTGTATACAAGTTAATAAAAATTATAGCCAGAAGTCCTGTTCCCATCCTCCACCTTCTCCCTTGTTCCCACCTAAACTTATGGGTATCCATTTACACTCCTTTTGATCTACTGCCTTTATTTTTTTTTAAACTTAGCAAATACAGCTGGGACCGGTTTGGCTCAGTGGATAGAGCATCGGTTTGGGGACTGAAGGGTCCCGGGTTCGATTCCGGTCAAGGGCATGTACCTTGGTTGTGGGCAGATCCCCGGTGGGGGGTGTGCAAGAGGCAGCTGATCGATGACTCTCTCTCATTGATGTTTCTAACTCTCTATCTCTCTCCCTTCCTCTCTGTACAAAATCAATAAAATATATATTTAAAAAAAAAAACTTAGCAAATACATAAACACACATACATATACTCTCTTATTTCCCTTCTTTCTTACATAAAATGTTAACTATACACACCTGTATGGAGGAAACAGCTCTGCCATGATGCCTTGGTATCTTGCATGTGTCACATGGGCCATGCAGGCAGAGGCCTGAGCCACAGCTTCTCTGCCTTGTGACCTTCCCGGAACGAGGGGATGGCCAGCTTGGGAGGAGCTGCCTCTAAGCCAACTCCCACTCACCTCCCTATCTCCCCGAGAGGCTGTTAGGAGACCATTCCTCATACCCTCCTGGGTTCTGAGGAGGCTCTTGCTCTGCTGCTCTCAGGTTCAGCTACTGACTATACAGCTGCCTGGTGGCAATCCAGAATAGGCTCCTGCACAAACGGCGTCCCATGCCCTGCACTGCGGTCACATGGTCCCCTTTGTTTCCATGTTGTTCTCTTTGGGGAGCAAGACAAGGCCCAAGGCTAGCATCTTTGGCTCCTTGTATGAATCTAAAAGTGGCTCATTTTATCTATACTGGTGAATCAGTTGGGCTTTGGCCTTGCTTTGTCTTGTGTGCTTCACAATTTGCTTTTTTCATTTAACAAAATATCCAAGAAATCTTAGCCTATCAGTTGTTGGTGGCCTTCCTTATTTGTTTTCTTAATCCTCACCCGAGGAGTGAGTGAGAATATTTTTTCCACTGATTTTTAGAGAATGTGGAAGGGAAGGTTGAGAGGGAGGAAGACAGAGAGAGAGAGATGGGAGAGAGAGAGAAATATCCATGTGACAGAGACATAGCATTGGTTGCCTCCTACTGGAACCCAGACCAAGGCCAGGGATTGAATCTGCAACCGAGGTATGTGCCCTTGACCTGGAATCAAACCTAAGACCTTTCAGTCCTAAGGTTGATGGTATAACCTGAACAAACTGGCCAGGGCCTTGGTCATTCTTTATAACTCTGTAACACATTGTGTACCATGGTGTCCTCACCTACTCTCTCCATCTGGAGCATTCCAAGCAGCTTTCTTATGCCTTTGGACAATTGCTTAATAATAAAGTTGCAAAAATGCTAATGCTTTTCCTGCCAAGAGGTCCTAAAATATGACTTGACAAATTTCTTGTTAAATCCAACACTCACCCATTTTCCGTGGCCTAGAACCTTCTGGGACAGACAGGAAGCAGCCGCTGCCACTCTGGACGGGTGATAATGCACCATGTCGTAGTCAATGAGAGTCAGTTCCATCAAATATTTGGCTAAAGTGTGCTGCTCAACATCAACCTACGAAAGGACAGCCAGGGACAGGAAGCAGCACAGTTACTGTATTGCAAAATTCTGGGTGGAGGCCTCAGAACACAAATCCACTAAACTCACTTTTCCTTCCCAGGAACCGTTCTGCTCCACAGTATGTCACAAACACAGAGGTCATTTCTCTTAAGAGCTGATGCAATAAGTATTAGGACTCATCTAAAAGATGTTTCCTATAAGTTTCACTTTAATTGGATCAATGTTTCTGGGCTGAGACAAGTGGCAAAATAAAGTCTCCTACAGAATTGGAGGCACTTACCTCCCCAGCTTTTGATGCCCGCCTTAAGAAATGTAGTGGTAAAGGCCGACCCAACTCAAATTTCAGTTCTTTCAAAATCAGCGCTTCCATTTCTCGGATTTGGATACTAGTATACGCATTGTCTGTGATGTAAACGAAGTCTTCTATATTTGGAGAAAACATTTCCTCATACTTGGAGGCCAAAAGCAAGGCTGTAATCCCAACCAGCTGAAGCTTCTTACGAGACACTGGCTGAACCTAATTGGAGAAGAACGTGTCCAAGTCACACCGGACAAGAAGACTGGAAATCCGGGTGGAAGAGAGTGAGAGGGAGCCGAGTGCTGGAGATGTGCACACTGACTCTCCCACATCAGAAGCCTAAACGTTAACAGTCAGTACTCACGACATGCCAGGCACAATGCTAAGATTCTAACCATCACCTCATCGGATCAAAAACTCTAGGAAATATGTATTTTCCCCAACGTAAAAGCAGATGGTCTGATAAGAGATTCAGACACCAGTCCAAGAGGACTCAGTTGCTGAATGGAGAAGAATTATGCCTGACAACCAAGCTCCCGGTCACTGCTCCCGGTCCATCGTTCTGGCTGAGTGTCTAGGGAAGCCCCAACGTGGCACTCAGCATAGTCTGAGTCAGCATGAGGCCAAGCCAAAAAGCAGGAACTTAATGGCCTCGTAAGGATGAGGAATATATTTTTTCTTTTAATATATTTTATTGATTTTTTACAGAGAGGAAGAGAGAGGGATGGAGAGTTAGAAACATTGATGAGAGAGAAACATTGATCAGCTGCCTCCTACACACTGCCTTGGTTGTGGGATGTGCCCGCAACCAAGGTACATGCCCTTCTAAGTGGTTGGTGTTTTTGAGTTACCAATTGATAAGTATTTTGATAATCACTCTGCCTCTCACCTTAATTTCTTACATTCCTCAGTTGAGATTTCACATTCTAAAACACTCCCACACACACCCCAACCCTTTTATAAAAAATTCTGCCTCCTCCATTTCTACCATGATTCAGTGCCACACCTGGTTGGAAACTTAAAAGTTCTCTAACCTTGCCCTAACCGGTTTGGATCAGTGGATAGAGTGTCAGCCTGCAGACTCAAGGGTCCCAGGTTCCATTCCGGTCAAGGGCACATCCTTGACCGGAATGTACCTTGGTTGGGGGCACATCCCAGTCGGCAGTGTGCAGGAGGCAGCTAATTGATGTCTCTCTCTCTCCCTCTCCCTTCCTCTCTGTAAAAAATCAATAAAATATATTTTTTTAAAAAGGCCGAAACCGGGTTTGGCTTAGTGGATAGAGCGTCGGCCTGCGGACTGAAAGGTCCCGGGTTCGATTCCAGTCAAGGGCATGTATCTTGGTTGCGGGCACATCCCCAGTAGGGCGTGTGCAAGAGGCAGCTGGTCGATGTTTCTCTCTCATCGATGTTTCTAACTCTCTATCCCTCTCTCTTCCTCTCTGTAAAAAAATCAATAAAAATATATTAAAAAAAAAAAAGTTCTCTAACCAAACTCCTCACTTTTCAGAGGAAGCTCACCAAAGAATACCACACTATGGAAACTGCAAGCAGGCCAGGAAAGCCAGCATCACAGCCCCACACGCTTCAGACTGACTGTGGACCATCTGCTGGCACACCTCCCTCAGGAGTGACGGTGGCAATGCCATTTTCCCCAAGTGTTCAGCAGGCTGGCCTAACTAAAATGCCCCCCACTGCTCAGAACCCCCAGAGGTTTGACACACGTGGAGAGCTTCCCATCCTAGCTTCTGAAGTTCTCTGTCTTCTCATAAATGAGCTTTTGGTCTTTTCTTCAGAGCTACCACATCTTGGCATCCCATAAACACGATGTTCTGTGAGCCCTGGTACCAAGTCCCCGCAGCCGCACTTACCTGTAAAAATCGATCCATAATGGCGACGCACATGTAGAGGGTCTCCTGTAGCAGCCTAAACTTGGAATGGACCTGGACCAGCCAATCCACCAGGATGGCTCGCATGCGTCCGTTTATATCTCTTCCATCTAAGAAATGTGGATTTATGGTTTGCAGAACCTGTTGGGAGGATTAAAAGTTTAAAGAGCTGACCTCGTTTCCTTCCCAGCCGTGTGGTGCATTCAACATTTACACAAGCAAAACACAGAGGACCACTCACCTCGAGCTGCCTCAGATACTGGTAGATATCCTTCACGTAGTCGCTGCAGAGCTGAGGGTTCTCCCAGTCTTCATTATCAATATCTTCGATCTTGCAGAGCAAAGCATCGGAGAAAGCTTGGCAGAGGTTTTCTTCCTTCATGGAGATATCCTCAGGTGCAGGATGAGGCTCCTACATCGACAAAATTAAAGTGCATGCATTACCGCTTTAGGAGCAGCCTTCGTCAAATACGTGCAGAGTCAATTGGTTTAAAAGTATCAGATAACCCTGGCCGGGTAGATTAGTTGGTTAGAGCATCATCCCAATATGCCAAGGTTGCAGTTTCTATCCCCGGGCAGGGCACATACAAGGAGAAACCAATGAATGCATAAACACGTGGAACAACAAATCGATGTTTCACTCTGTCTCTGTCACTCTATCTCTAAAATCAAGCATTAATACATAAAATATGTTAAAGCTAAAACAACAAATTTCAGGTGAATAAGTCATGATGTAGTAGATGAAGTCTCTAGAGATAGCCTCCTCTTTAAAATTCTCTAATTCACTCAAAGTGAAACCCTAAGTCTTCACATCGGCTTCCCGGCTCTGCAGGGCCAGATCTTCCCTGTTCCCTGTGACGTCTCCTGCTCCTCTCCCTGGGTTTGCTTCACTCCAGCCTACGAGCCTCCCCCCTGCAAACAGGCTGCCACTTCCCAGAATGCTCTTGTTCCTGTATTCGATGGGTAATTCCCTCACCTTCTTCAAGTTTTATTTAAATGCTACCTACTCATTGAGGTCTCTCCTGACTCCTACTTAAAATGGCCATCTGCTTCTGACCCCCACCACATGTGTTTCATTTCTCTTAGTGTGTTTTCCATATAACCTCTAACTTTCTATATATTACATTACATATTATATTATAGCGCTTACTTATGTAGGGTATGTATTATTTTCTGTCTACTTCTCCAGGAATGTGAGCTCTGTATCCCTACATTTATTTACATTAACTTGTTCACTAAGGTATCTCAAACACTTATGTCATCGCTAACATACAGTAGGTGTTTGATGAATATTTATTGAAAAAAGCTTAGACACCTGGGTTCAGAGATTCCTGGAGCTGACAGTTCACATTAGCCTCTTCTGCCAGTGTAATGTTTTCTTCTCTCCAACTAATTTATTCTAAACTGAGAAAATGTTTGACAGCTAAAAAGCAGAAAAGCACATTCCAGCCTATGAATAAAATAGGAGAAGGAAGCAAAGACCGAGCAAGTATACACTCACTAATTATTTTCTTATGTTGATGGGGTGATATTTTAAATCACACATTAAAAATATTTTAAGTTAAAGCAAGTGTTTAGTAATTAAGTATAAATAACCATCATTACTTTTTTAAAAGAATGAGAGGTACTTCTCAAAGTAAAACCTAACAGAATTGCTACGTTGTAAAGAATATATATTAAAGTAATAAATATAGAAAGAGTATGCTGTATAATAAACAATTTTGATTTACATTAAAGCTCAATGATTACAGTTTCCAATCTTAGAAAAGAATAAAACATTAACAACAAAATATGCATAGCAATTTAAAACAGACCTTTCCCTCTTAAATCAAAGTTATTAAACCAAGTAAGGGCCAGGAGAACAAGAGGTATGCTGGTAGGTATAACATTTATTCAAGAATATAAGAATTTCAAGGGGCTACAATAAATAAGAAATGCTACTTGGGATACTGGGAAGAAACCTAGGGACAGTTACCAGAGAGGGGAAGTCCTTCAGGAAAATGAGTAGGGAAAGGCACACCGGGACAAAGTCCCAGCGGAAGCCAAGAGTTAAAGGCAAGTGAGGGGACTATACACTGATTTGGGAAGGCGGGAGACAGAACGTGAGGTAGCAAACATGTGCTGGAAAGATGAGCAAGTATCTACCGAAGGAGTTTAGATTTGTCCTAAAGCAACTGAACTCACTGAAGGAACTGAGCAAGAGTGACTGGAACCGAATGCACGTTTTAATAAGCACATGTAGCTTAGTATAAGGTCACCTTTTTCAAGGATAAGCATTTTCACTCTCCCTAGGAAGGGCAGTCAGTTCCAGGAAGCTGGTGTAAGGAAGCAGAGATTATTGGCATGTGCTGTCTTAGCAGCGTGAAATGTTTACTCATGTAGTTGCTGCAGAGCTGAGGGTTCTCCCAGTCTTCATTATCAATATCTTCGATCTTGCAGAGCAAAGCATCGGAGAAAGCTTGGCAGAGGATCAGAAGTACACCTGAGTTTAGCTTTATCCCAAAACCCCCAGCATAATTTTCTGAAAGCATTCCTTTTGGACTCCAGCTTAATTATTCCAGAATCCTTCTTAAGGATCATGCAAGAAGTAGCCTAAGCCCTATAAACCAACTGTGGGGCCCTCTGCCCAGGGCTGCTGCATGTAAAATAAAAAACTGTATCAGCTAGTTATGCAGCACAAACCTCTGAATGACAGTCAGCCTAAAGAATTAAAACCTTCAAGTTAGATGAACAAGTGAGTTATGTGAACTAAAGTCCTATCAGAAACAATGAGGATGAGAGATTTTGCTGAACTTGAACTTCTGTTTGATCAAGAGATGGGTGAAGTGTGAGTCAAGGCTACCGAAGTTCTCCAAGTACCGACACTGAGTGAGCTGGGCCTGTTGAGAGAACGATTAATACTGATAGGCAAATATATAGGTATTTACACAAATCTTAGTAAAACACAGAGTTGCTTCTTAAAAAAAAAAAAAAAGTTTTTATTGGTTTCAGAGGGATAGAGGGAGAGAAACATCAATAATGAGAGAGAATCATTGATCAGCTGCCTCCTGCACACCCAACAATGGGATCAAGCCCACAACCCAGGCATGTACCCCGACCAGGAATCAAACTGTGACCTCCAGGCTCATACGTTGACACTCAACCACTGAACTACACCAGCCAGGCCAGAGTTTTTTCCTTTTTAAAAAAATATATATTATTGATTTTTTTACAGAGAGGAAGGGAGAAGGATAGAGAGTTAGAAACATCAGTGAGAGAAACATCGATTAGCTGCCTCCTGCACACCCCCTACTGGGGATGTGCCAGCAACCAAAATACAAGTCCTTGACCAGAATAGAACCTGGGACCCTTCAGTCCGCAGGCTGATGCTCTATCCACTCGGCCAAACCAGTTAGGACCAAAGTTTATTTATTTATTGAATTTATGATGCCAAACATCATAAATCAATGTCAATTAAGTGAAACAAGGAAAGACTCCAAGTAAAACTTGATTCTGATCAGTTCTCAATTTGTAGCAGACTGTGTACTCGTGAACACATAGGCACACACAACTGCAGAAAGGTGAAATCGGTTTCCCTGCTCAGCGCTAGGGGATGTATTATGCTGTGGAATGGAATTAGACACCTGTGCTTCACTGGTATTTTAAGCAGCTGTAGGGACAGGTATTTTAAACACCTGTACAGAGCAACAATGACTCTGCACGTGGAGCAGAAGGCAGAGCCAAAGCCAGAGGGCTGACGAGAGACAGGCGAGCAGAGGGGCTAACCTCCAGGGGGGGGCTTCCCCTGCATTGCAGATGTCAAGGTCACTTCTGTTCTCTTTCTCAGAGAAAAGTGCCTTTGAGTTGGAAACAATTCTTGTTCATCAATCCTCAATGTATTCTGAAACTGGAAGCATGTTTCCATCTCAGAAATGACTTTTAGATAAACTGAGCGACAGGCCCATAATTCTTTATCTGAAACACAGTGGCCTCAGTTTTGTCGGGAAGCTAGAGAAAAAGGAGTGAGCCAAGATGCGGAGAAAAGGGAACTCAGTCAGTGGAGTTCTGAAGGGAATTCCTCCTTTGTTTTGTTCATATTTTTGGTTCTTGGGGTTTTTTTTGGATTTTTGTTTTTGTTTTGTCTTTTTTCCTTCTTCAATTCAAATAGTAATATGTACCTATGGTGAAAAGTCTGACAATTTGTAGGAAGAAAATAAAAATCAATCTTAAGCCCAACATAATACTAAAAAGTAAAAGTATCATCAATATTTTGCATATAAAAACATTTTTTAAAAGCAAATTTGGGGTTTCATTGCATCATATCATGTAATAATTTGACTGTTTTCTAATGTAACATGCATTTTTTTTAAAAAGAATAGTTTATTGACTTTTAGAGAGAGAGGAAGGGAGAGAAACATCGATGTGAGAATGCAACATCAATTTGCTGCCTTGTGCAGGCCCCCCACTGAAAATCAAGTGCACAGCGGGCATGTGCCCTGACCAGGAATTGAACTGGCAA